AATTTAAGTGCCTTTAATGTCTCTGAGATAAGCGCTGTGCTCCTGCTACATCTCAGAGGCACAGCGTCTCCGCAGCAGTGCCCGTAGCAGTGCCCTCCACTCTGACCGCCGAGGAGGTGCTGCCACTCACGCGCACCATTTTAATAGCTACTCTTTCCTCCCCAAGGAAGTACGCTGCCTTCTTTGGGGATAAAAAAAGGAGAACAGAAAGACACCTCTCCATTGCTCTGAAACCGAAACACCCAAACTAACTTGCGTGCTGAGGCCAGTCGGCTCCCCAAGACAGCGCAAGGGAAACACAGCCATAAACCTGCTTTTGCCTTCGGACACTGGCTTGGGATTCCTTTCACCTACAGGTTCCCGTCTGTATCGGAGGAAAAAAAGTCCTTTAATCCTGAAATGCTGGAGTAGGATAAAACACGGTTGTGTTTGTATACCGAAGCAGAAGGAGTGTTATAAATGCACAATGCAAACACAGGTAGAAAAAAGCACATTTAGTATCTTCTTTGTAAGCTAAATTCAATAACCCCCTGTCAGAAGCGGTCGATACTGTTGCACAGACACCTTCTCCCTGCAGTTAACACAGCCTCTTCCCCCTTTTATACTACCAGTAGGCATTACCACGTATTACCCCACAGGAGAAGTAAAACACCGCTTGAGCCGGTCCACACATACTGCTGCTGCCCTGAAGTGCTGCCCAATGCAGGCTTCAGACACTGGGAATAACGACGTCACTGGGCATAACGGGGCAGGTCACGTGAACGAGAGAAATGACCGTTTCGAGAGAGGCGGGGAAACAAGGCTACATTTGGACCTCCGTTTCGCTGCTCCGAATGTGGGAGATGCTATTTGGGTATAAACCCAAAACAGCCAGCCAGAGTCCCGACCGCCTTCCCAAAGGATTCACGGCTGCAGCCTCCTCCCAGCTCCCACTCGGAAAACGTGGCTTGAAACGGAGTAACAGCCACTGCTGACACCATCACAGACAAGCGGGAAGAAATGACAGCGTGCGGGAGCTTCCCACCAACACGGGCACGGTCGGCAGCTTTGTTAGAAAACATGAGCCTCTTCAGTTTTACGGCCAGAGACAGAAGGGGTCTGATAACGGGCACTGCCGGATCCAGTGCCTGATTAGCAATTAACCACTTAGCGAGGGGCGAGCCCCCCCGGGCAGCAATGCCCTCCCCCATTGAGTCATATAAAACCTTCCCACGTAAATTAGCTACCCCCACGATTTTAATGCTTCAGTGTGCCCTTGACAAAGGAGTCCTTCCAGGGCTCTGTGCGGCAGTCAGCTCCGGCGCCTCCTGTTTGGAAATCTGGCAGGGAGCCAAAAGACGGTGAACTGCTCCGGTACGGAGCCGCACTACGCCGCTCACGCCGAGCCGCCGCTCAGGCTACCGGCATCGGACCACGGTTG